AATATTGGCGATGGTTTTTAATGAATTCTTTTGCCTGTCTCATTCCTGGCGAGTTCTTCCACCATTCTTAAGATTTGGTTTGCATCCATGATTTGATACTTGTCCTTTGTACGGAAGGGTTCTAGGCCATTCAGAGCGTTGTTTACTCCTGCTCGGAGAAGTGAGTCTGCCTCTTCATTGCCCTCGTTCCCTGTATGTGCTGGTACCCATGCTAGATTCAGTCTGTTTTGACTGCCCGTTCATTTAGGGTTTTTGAGCAGTCATATACTAGCTCTTCCGAATTCCAATGTAACTTCCAGCAGAACATCATAATATATATAGTTCGACATTTTTGAGTTATTCCAGATTTTTCGAAATTTTTAACAGTACTTCCAAATTATTGTTCTGATGTGAGATTCGCAGGAATGATACTCGAATCTAGTATACGTATTCATTATTAACGACCTGTCATATATGCTGTCATGGTCATGGCAACTAGATTTCAATTAGTTATGGTGGAAAAAAATTATTTACACCTTGGTAGTGAATAATATTTCATCCTCGGGATATAAGGTCCCTGTGTAATAATGATATTCTTCACTGCCTTGGTGTATAATCAGCCAAAGAAATATAAGGAGATAATTTTATTCTAGATCACCGTGTATGGGCCAACATTTGACTTGTATCTAAATATATTTCTGCCTTTTTTGATCCGAAATCTCAGAATGGACATCATAATAACATGGGACCAATATAAAGAAATAGATGAATGATTCAAAATAAAAACAACTTCGCAAGAGGTATTCAATAATATTCAACGAAGGTATATGATTTAATTCTGCTGCCGGTTTTCTCTTTTGATTCTGGTATAGTGAAAATAAATAACAAGATAATTGAATTACTAGCTACAGCTCTCTAGATTATTTCAGGAACGTGTGTTTCGCGTTATTGCATGCCACAGTGGTGTTTATGGAGTTCCGCCCCATAATATTGCTTTTATAATGAATTCAATCTTGTGCTTGTTGATGGTGCATTACCATATAGTTGCATTACCATCCTTACGATATACAAGGTGATTCAATTTTTTTATTGAAAAAGAAAGTGGGTGTTCATCGAAGTTCGTCAGGGCGATATAGGTATATGTACAGGGTGTAATTCAATTGAAAATAAAGGATAAGGTTCCTTAGCTCATTCTAAGAAGAATTCATCATTTGAACATATGCCCTAAACCTCTTAACTTTCGAAAAGGGGTCGCCAACTTTTTGAAAATTTCAAGATCTTGTCTTGATCTCAAAAAAAGATCAAGATAAGAAGTTATTTTAGATTTCAAGACAAGACAAGAAATTTTATGTCAATACCAAGATTTCTCGTCTAGAAAACAAGAAGTCTTGAGATTTCTGACTAAGAATGAAAACGCTGAAACGTGCGTTTATCACTCATGATGAAATAAGAGATAATATCAATATAACGTACTCTTTACCACCACTTCTCAAACTGGCATCATTGCAAGTGCCCGGCGACGTTTGGTAAACCACCAGATAGCCGTGTTAGCATGCGACAGGGTTGCCAGCTGTACTGAATTTTCAGGAGACCTAACTGATTAGCAAATTGATCTACTGAAACATTCATAGTCTACTGAATTATGACACTTATTCATCATTATAATCTCCTTTCATTATTGATCTTTATATAATCACATAAACTCATAATATCTTATATTTGGGCACGCTCTGTAAATAAATTTTCTGGCACCACTGATTATAAATTCGAATGCGTCGCTAAGCGCTTGATATGTTGGTAAAAAAGTACTCACTGTTCTTGGGGGAAAGAAGTAATTTTATGAAAAGTGACATTTTGTTACCTGTCAACATATGTTGAATTGACTCGTCGTTATTTGATGGAAATCCAAGAAAAAATGTCAAACTTTTTTTGCCGTCACAGAAAAATACATAATTTTATGATGTCATAGGTTCATTTCATTATCCTGAGATTTGTATAGCATCAAATAAATCTACTGAAATCTACTGAATTTCTGACAAGGTATATACAGTATGATGCAAATGTATGGAATAAATTCATTTCAAAACAAGACGACTTCCGAAAAAAATCCGAAAACTAGAGTTCAGAACTTTTTTCATTGTGTCTTTTTTCAACTAGACGACCCTTCGATGTTCAATTCTCAGTAGCAGACCTCTGCAAGATTCAGTTAACCAAATGATAATCCATTTTAATTGCAATATTCTTATGCAAAATTTTGACTGTTGGATAGACGATCAGTAGACCTTTCAAACGAGGTGTCACATGACCCCTGCTTGTATTTGAAAAAATTGTCCATTACGTCATTACTTCTACACCAGTGACGTAACATCTCTCATATGAATGTCATGAGATGAGGCTTCAAAAATTAAAACTCGCACGTGTTTTTGGAATTTCTTCAAATGTCGCCCATTTCTGAAATAATGAATTCATTCCATACATTTGCATCATACTGATGTATATCTGGCACGCAACGCAACGCAACATCATGTACGGTGTCACCTGTAAATCGAGAAATTTATTCAAGATCTCAAATTGAAAATCAGAAATTCTCTAGTGTTAGAGCATGCAAAAAAATATAAACTACACATCATTCAATTCAGCGCTTTGTGCACTTTCTAAATATGTAAGCGGATTTTGGAAATTCGCTATTACAAAGTTTTCTATTTGGGGTCCAGAAATATTATCAATTGCCGTTAATCCGGACCTGGATTTTTCTCGTGACTGATAGGTAAGTCGCCTGGGTAGAAAAAGAAGAAAATGTGTACAAAATTTCAAAAGAATATATCTAGGTGTCCTCGCAAAGCATAGAGCAGAATTGCCTATATATCTCGGATATAAAACTTGTGAGGCCCTACAAATTTCATTCAGAACCACCTTGATGAGCAATACCCACCGTTGAAGTTTTTTCGTTTCCCAATGGGACACCCTGTATACAGGGTGCTGATGCATCTCACCTCCCGTCTTCTATAGCTCAGTTATCAGATGAGTCAGGATTTTGATATTTTGCAGACTCCAATAATCATTGTCTCATAGGGCAAATACCAGGAAAATAATTTCGATTATACAGGGTGTCCCAAAAAAGTGTGACGTCACCCACCAAACATCAAACATTACATATTATTGCAGCTACATAGTTTTCAGCTTGCCTGTACAAAGTTATCTTCTAAAAATTGTTTTAATGTTTCGGCAATCTTTAGAATGATGAAATTAGTCAATATAAGTTACTACAACATTAAAATACTAATGATTGAAAATGTCAATATTGATTGAATGTTTACCGAGAAACATTGCACGAAGATATTTCAACTAATGCTTCCACAACATTACCTGAATTATCAAATGTAATGTTTGACCAAATAATATGGCTGTATCGTTATGGAGGCAATCTACCTGTTATATTTAATTCGAAACATTAAGGAGCGGTTTCAAGAGTAATATAAAGGAATTACTTAATATAATTGAAATGTTACATACTACAATCTTGAAGTTATCTTGGCCATGCCCATGAGAGGAATAAAAAAGTTATAAATATCTGCAAAAGATTATACAAAATCAAAAGCGAAATTCACTTGGTCTAAAAATCAGTGTCCTTGTGTCTTGTTTCCTTTTTGTCGATTCTGTTCTGTGTTTGAGTTGTGGTTCTGTAGCAGTCTGGCAGTAGTGGGCGTTGTTCGCGACATTGAGATTTGAGGTTTAAGTTAAATTTATATTTACATGGGCGATTTCGATTTCTGTAGTGATTTCTTTATTTTCATTTATAGTTATCCTTCAACCATAAATTGGAACCTATCGAGAATTATATCGATGAGAACATTGAGGTAAGTGAAAACATGCTCATTGTAATTGTATATTTTGTGTTGGTCATATACTTCAACAGTAAAAACTCCTTCAGAAGAATTTAGTCATGTTTCCGTTTATGTATCTAACTTCAATAAAACTTCAATTGAATCGACTTCATCAAATGTTCTGTCAATGATGATGACATGAATAATTGCATTCCAATAACTAATTTGTCCTAACGACTTCAAATTTCTCTGTAAGCCGTCAAAATAGCTCTATGACCCCCTCCACACACATCAGTGAACCACAAGTTCAGAAAAGTTTGCAAATGAAATTAACACAATACTTTATTCGTTAATATCGTATACTCTTTCTTTATACCAATGAAGTCATTATTTTTCCAGATATTGTATCAGTTAAACATGAAGCTGCACAATTATTTTGATTTGAATTTGTATTCACTGTTGTTTTAGGTAGGTAATTGGATTGCATTCTGCATTCAACTTCAATCCATATCAACAAAAGAAAAAAATCTTGAAACAGATCGAAACACCCTGTAACTGGGAAATGACTGAAAAGAGATACATTTTATCTAGGTGATTTGGGTCAAATCTTCATATTTTGAGCTCAGGATCACCTAATTGTATCAATCAACATAAATCATATTTTTTATATTCATATTTTTGAGAACACAGTACGCACTTATTCAAGTGGTGAGAAGCGGTTGAATTTTCATTCCTAATGAATAAGTAAGTGCCATCTACCAACGAACTGATGAAACTTGTTAGTTCACTTGGTCGCCATCATCATTGTAAAACAGTCACCTATAATTGAGTGGTTGAAGAGAAATAGTAGTGTTCATTCCCGAGTTTCATACCATTTCTGAGATGCCTACCATTTCATAGTCCTGAAAATACATGTAGGTGACGCTACTTTCCACCTTTTCAACAATATTCATATAGGAAAAAAGGGTAATCTTCGTTGCAGCTGTCCCTGACACACTTTGTGCTATACGAGAGAACGGCCGTCTCCCTTTCAGTTGTTTAATATATTGGGTTCATTGTTATTGGATGGCATCAATATGCTTCAACCTTTGATTGGTCCATTTAAAAAATGACGATATTTTTGACATTTTGTCAACCATCGAACGCCGTGAGTGCATTTTTTTCCAGGAATAGGTATCAAAAATAAATTAAATGAGGAAGTTTATCTATAAAACAAATCATCTTTATTTTTTTCATAAAAATATCATTTCATATCATCATCACAGAAACAGACCAACCTTACAATGTTTTCTTGATCGGTTTCGGAGCAACACTGACTCTAACAGGTTTGCACAGATCGAGCAAAGTTGGCGTGGAATCAACCACGACTTTCCTTTTTCCGATGTCAGCTTCAGGAATCGCCAGGGCGATGTTGATCTCAACATCACAAGCTTCAGACCACACTTGATGGGAAATCAACACGGAAGTCAACAGGCGAATATTATGGCCAATTTGAGATTCTGAAAAAAATAGGAATTATTTTCATTTTACAGGGCGTTGGTGAGAAAGTACGACAAACTTCAGGAGGCGATGCCTAGTGATATTTTAGAAAATAAAGTTCATATAAACATGTGTTCTAACTGGCTTCCTATTTGATATATTTGAAAGGGTTTTTGAGGATAACACTCTTATTAAAGAATATGTACAAGACCCTCCTCATGCAAAGCAACTTCCTAACTCAATATTTACATTTTTCCAGTTACTTCGTTTCCCCTACTAATGCCTCAACTAATTCTAGATGCATATGTACATTTTTTCCATTCCCAATGTAATTTTGGCCTCATATATCTATTTTATTTAGATCATTTCATGTATTCATAGTATTTGATACAGTTATTCATCAAATCAAAATAATCACCTCTCAAAAATGCTAGCTGTCGATGACGTGACATACCGATAAGCACTATTGCTCGACAACCAATGAAAATATCTCCACATTCTACATATGAATGGAAATTCACTTCCTCAGTAGAAGTCTATACTGAAATATACACAATACATAGGTAATTTCGTATATAATTGCGTTTTTCCGCCTTGTTCATGTTATGAAATATAGTGAATTTCAAATTATATTCAAAACGTACATAGCTTTGAGGAAAAAACGGTTGGTGACAATGAACAAGTGGAGGTTAGTACAAATTAATGAAAAACAAATGTTTCTTTGAAACGAGCACATTTCAACTGGGAATTATGATCAAATTTACAGAAGCAACTGAAAATTGAAACCTCATTTACAGATACAGCTATTTACAGTTATTGTTAGCTAGTTATCAGACAAATATACAGTTGTACCTGTTTATTATACAATTTACGGTAGCTACACTGTAACTAACGCGCAAAAATACTTCATAGGGACAGTTCTAGATTGAAATGGAATTAGTCAGGGAGGTTATTGTTTTTTGTGAGATATGGAAGACAGTTCAATCCATTTTTTTCCCTTTGTAATACAAGTGTATTGATGATTATCAAAATATGAAGGAATTTTCGATAATGTTCAATCTACAATGATTATTTCACTAGTTATTTCATGAATGGAACAATAATTTCACGTCGTATTTTCTTTGCAGTTGTTGCGTTCTAGAACTAACGATATCATCAACAAAACTGTCTGTCAGCTCGTCATTGAAAATTATAATATTATTAGATGGTTAGTAATGTCATGAGTTGGGGTTGATATTGAAAGTACCGATCATAAAAATTTGGTCCAACATTCTTCGACGCAAATTATGCATATAGTGCTGTGTTATTCACATCTGAAAATTAAAATATGGCATTTATGACAGCCTGCTGAGAGCAAAATACAATAACGAGAACACAGGATGTAGGTACCCAGTAATTTCAACAACAATGGTGAATTAAGGCGTTTCACAGACTAGGGGGCAATAAATTCGAGCACCCCCAATTTCTGGATAGTTTTAAGAATCGAGTGCTAAAAAAAAAATCCGTTTTATAATACTTTCGTTACAGATGTTTATTCGCTGATGGTTATTTATCTAAATCAACTCTTGAATACAAATACAACGAAAATGTAATACTGAAATTTATTTTACTATACAGGCTGATTTTAAAATGAGTGCATATATTCAAGACATATATATGAGAGAGTCTAACAAAAATTACTAAAATATTTGATTTTTCCTAAGTCTTCACATTAACGAGAAATTTCATTTTGAAAATTGAACATAAAATGCTTCGAAATTCGAGTACGCCACTGGGAAGCAAGTGAAATCTGCGGAATCCCCAATTCGTCATTCAATAATGTCAAAACAAGACAGTGATGCCAGATTGTTTCAGAGACGAATAACCTGATAAAAATTTGTCTGAGAGTGAATATGAATTGGAATAGGTTATGGAAACTAATAGAGGTGAATGTAATATGTACAGGAGCCTTATTTTTTGAAGTTTACTGAGAGAACTGTGGGGTGATTATCTCCATGGATCACGAGAGACGGAGAGAAACATGAGGGGAATGATAGAACGTCCCCCTTCCTTCAATCCGAAAATAAGGCCCCAGCGGGTAGATACAAAATTAGCAGACAATAAATAGGTACACAACATACACAAAGTTGAAAATCGACTCACCAAGTAGATTTTCTCATACCTGCTCGAACAGCAAAACTCCCGAGAGAAAACAAATACTTATATCGAGTCCATTCCAGACTAATATCGTCCTGTGTTCTTGTTGGTTCATATTCGCACTTAAACCATCGAAAACGACTCGACGACGACATATTATCCTTCCTGGCAATCTCACATTGAAAATCACGACCATAAACAAAACTATTATCATATGATCTGTCAACATCATTTCTCAGAACAGTAGTATCTGTGACCATAGATTTCCTCTTTGCTGTGACCTTTGACAGTACTAACTAGGGCCCGTATTTATAGTCGCAACTTATGGTGACCTCGTCCCTTAAGGCAGCCCTTAAGGACTAGTTACCAAGTTATAGTCGTAATATGAACTCCAAGAATGCCTCAAGGAAATGTCAATCCCAAGGGAGGTAGAGAGATACCTTGAGAATTCCTTTCCTTGATCCAATTTCTAGTATTATTTTAGGTTATATTATGAATTCCATGAAAAGAATGATGGAATTGAATGTAGTAAAAGTATACAGAGAATTTGATTGGAGTATATCGATTTCCAGCAGTAGAAGCTAATTCAAGTTTATAGTTGAAAAGTAAATCTTTTTTATTTCGAATAATAGGTATATATATTACAAATAATGGAAACTCAGCATATTAACAATTATTGTTAGGCCCAATTTGAATCAACCTTTGAAGATTATTACTGGTATATTATAGCTCTTGCCTACTAACTACCTAACTAGGTTGTCATCTAGAACGACAATGACTGGATTATTAGACTTTCGATGTCCACACTCAACAGTAAACATTTTCAAATTCGACATTTTACATTTTGTGACAAACACGTGACATTGAACAACAAATTTGGTCATAGAACACTAAAGTTATACATTGTTGCCAAGTGTGAGGGCTCCTTTCAAAAGGAATACTCAAGGGAGGTCTATAAAACAAGTTAAGCGTCAAGTACTGAGGAATCCTCAGATAAGGAAAACTTGAGGGGTTCTTGAGGAAACGACTATAAATACGGGCCTAGGATTGTTCGCGTTCAGAAAATAAACAATCCGAAACCGTCAGAAGCATGCACAAGTCCACAGAACCCAAAAAAATCATACAGTTCTGTGAAACTGCGCATGCTTCTGACAGTTTCGGGCGCAAGAATTCAGATGACCATGAATTACTAATAGGCGATTTCTACGGACCAATCAGAAACAGCAAAGTAGCGCCTGCGTGGTTGCGATTCATCCTGATTGGACACATTGGATTTGTGAGATTAGTGTATAGTGAGGAAGTATCATTTCATTGAATTAAACTAATAGATGTTTTTTCAAAATTAGTTTTTTTATGAAAATGGTAGTTTCATTTAAAGATATGATCCTTCCTCACTAATACATTAATCTCAATCACCTGTGCTTAATCAGGATGAATCGCAACCACGCAGGCACTACTTTGCTGTTTCTGATTGGTCCGTAAAAGTCGCCTATTAGTAATTCATGGTCATCTGAATTCTTGCTGGTAGCACACCATAAGAACAATCAAAACAAATATCCTTTCTTGACAGTTTGTTGTTCTGAGAATGTATGTTATTTTGGAAAACGTCAAAACGTGATACTAGTAAATGTAAACAGTGTGGTCCTTGTCATTACTTTAGTAATAGATCTATTACTATTCCACGGAGATTGTTACAATATTACGATTTGTCATGAATCTATTACTATTGGGTGTTAGCACCAGAATATGATGTTTTGTTACTAAAAAATCTAATTCTGTGTTCAGCGGATAATTATGTTCGCCTCTATGGGTCTATATTTATGTCATAAGTTCTGTGTGACCTGCCTCATTCCTGCCAAAACTGTCTAATTTGTGCGATATGGTTTTACAAGAATGACATTCAGAATGTCAAATGTCAGATTTTTAGGATCTATTACCTTTTGATACAAATCTGTTACCATTTTCTAAGAAAATCTATTACGAAAAAATCAGACCCAGGAACAACACTGAATGTAAAGTTTTGTTTCTGACAATTTGCTTGGAATGTGACGATGCATTTCTCAAACATTGAGCTGAATGATATGGTTCTTATGTCGGGTCGTTATTGTGCGGGGCCCATGAGACTCCTCGAAAACCACGAAATTGTAGCGATGCAAGGAGGTGGAAGGAAGGGTCTAAAGGATTTTTCAGTAAAATAACTTCCAATCGTGAGGTGTGAAGTTATACGCTATTCGAGCTTATGTGTAGAAATCTTGGGTGAGTCCATTTTGAAGTTTTTGTATTATCTTTCTGAAATTCAAGACCAGGGTTAACTTCTTCCCCATGTACATTTTCTCGATTATACATTTTATTTAATATCTCCTAATTTTCATGTAGAGTGGCAACGTCGCTTCGTTCATCACGGTCGACTGCGGATCGCAAACGATAGTTGTGACAGAAGTAGAAATCTGGGCGGAAAAAGGGTATTTTGCCCCAAATCTATTTTGATCCTGATAATATTTTCAATAGTGCTATTCGGAAGTATACCTCAAGCTTTCTTAGTGTTTAAAATATATGCACTTATTTTAAAATCAGCCTGTATAAATATAAGCGAAGAAAAGTATTTGAATTATTTTTTTTTCTACTAGCGTGCGGTAAAGTGAACTTTTTGCACGCAAATGAAAACTATGCGAAAACTCTCCTCTTCACATACCATTTACCTATACCAAATTGCAGTCGCCTCGCCTATAATCCGCCACTGATCAACACATATGTTCCAACCAATAAAAAAATAATAATGAGGTATTTACAAGCTATTTGAGAGTACATAAAATAATTAATATTTGTATTGAAAAACATTTAATATATTTAAGAAAAATAAAATATCTACAACAGGTATTTTCATCAATAAGGACGCCTAGCAGTAGTAGAATGAAAATAGAGTTATTATATCACCTGTTCATTTGACCCAATCTTCACCCCAAAGTTCGAAGAGCAAATCGGGATCTGTCATTTTCATAGAAAAAATGTCTTTATGAATTTTTCTGTCAAGGCATATCATAGATAGAATTCATGCTGTCCCCTGGTTTCGTCGCATCATTTTTACCCCAGAAATTGGAAATCTGTCAGTTTCATGAAAAAAATATTTTACTATGGATCTTTCAGTCAAAAATGCATAAGGCATAACATTGATTGAATCTATGCTCGCTGTCCCATGATTTTGGCGCATTATCTGTGATAAAATAACAAAAATAAATTAAAAAATCTTTTATGATTTTTTGATAGTTTTATACTTCTCATCTATTCTATACGCTTATAGATGTCCTTGTTAAGGTGAATGGATATAAATATGTCCCGGGAAGCCTCGCGGAGAGCTTCAGCGGTCCTTCGAAAATGAAAAATATAAGTATTTTGGAACACCTGAATATCTTCCCGTGTGGCCAGATATATCTATCTATCAAGGTCAAACTTAAGAAATTTCGAGGTCGGAGATTAAAATTCTTTCGTCAAAATTCGCATTCTTTCACTCTCCTGATCTCAAGCTATCGAAATATCAACTATCTGACCAATTGCAAAACATTTCAACGTGCATTTTTGATATATTCAGAATAACTATGAAGGATTTACAATATTTGAATAGAATTTGACAAGTATTTAGAGTACTTCAAGTATCCAAACGGTAATTAAGATAATGGACATGTACTGAAGTGAATGAAAAAGTAATAATTAGATATTTAAAATAATTCAGAGCATTTGAATATTAAAAATTGAGGGTGTTTGCCCCTCGTTTGTGATATAATTTCTAGTTTTTCTCACCTTTCTCTGTCGAATCATAGTACAAAGGCTTGAGATGCCGGGGCCGCGGCAAGACAATTTGCGTCCGCTGATCGGGATACTTGATCTTCAGTCGGATCCTGCTCGGATCCAACAGGTAGCGCAGCTCGGCCTCGAAGGGCACCGACATTATCAGGCCGGCCGTGAATTTCAGGGACGTGTCGGCATGGCCGGTCGGTTCCAGGATAGACGCCGAGCTCATTCGAATCTGAAAGCGGTGCAAAACATGAGGAGCACGTAAACATACAACATGGCTCCCTCTACTGCGCATGTCTCCCGTCTTCGTCCGTGACCTGACACTGTGAGGTTATGAATGTTTTGTATTTTTTGAAGAAGAATTGAACTTTGCAAGTACACCTCTTTGAGTAGGTCATCCGGTAACGTAGTCATTGTTTTTTTCTTCAACCAGCTTGACTTATCGATTTTTTGTTAATATTTTGTGAGGAAGGAACATACACCTCTATGAGTAGGTCATCCGGGAACGTAGTCATTGTTTTTTTTTTTCAACCAGTGTGGGGAGACATATTCGCGATAGAAAATAACACGTTGCCCCACCTGACGGCAACAACTTGAACACTTCTGAGTGGTTTGTTTTGATGATGTGACCAATAAGCACAAACAAAAAACAAATGTGAACTAATGAAAACAAAGTAAACATGCCGCTTTGACAGCTTTCAAGAACACCGATAGGTGGCGTACGCTTATTTTCTATCGCGAATACGTTGTTTCGAGTTTTACAAGATAATTATAAAGTGAATCAGAATCCTTCAAAACGAAATTATCCAATGTATAGACTATTTTTCCGCCTAAATGAACATTCTTCATAGAAAGTATTTTTTTCAGAAAATTACTTGAGAGAACAGAAGAGACTACTGCATCTAAACAACCTAAGCTGACTCGGCCTAAATGGACCCTCCTTTCGTCATGCTTAGAGGGAGTGCCTGAAACTATTAGGCATACGGTGTACGAAATTTAGAGTTACGCTGTTTGCCGGCAATACGTGAAATGACTAGGCATTCCAGAGAATGACGGATTCTACTGTTTGTCGCCGACATATATAAACTAGATGACTTGGAACCAACAAGAAATCTTTATAAACCTAGGCAATTGCTAGATATCAACTCCATTTACAAATTCAAAATATTAAATTTCATCCATTCCGTCAATAGTCATAAACACGAACACATAACCAGACAAAAAGATATTGTCATGTAGTAAATCCTAATCAAATTTTCATCTATCTGAATTCGAACATAATTATTCCTAATAAAAAAAACATTCATTTCAAATCCAATGTATTGCATGACACTCATACCTAGACAGGAACTAAAGTTTCCTATTACAACTAATATTTCCATAACCTGTATGAACTCAGATTGAATGGAAAATACATTGATTCTAAAACTGCTGAGATACAGAAATTAATACACAATCAGAGAGGGAAATATTGGTTGGAGTAGTTTCATTATGAAAAATACGAAGTCAGTCTACGTCGGGCGTAGAGCAAGAAAGGTTTCCTGTACCCCTTATGGATCCTCTGATATCCAAATTGTAAGTACCTACCAATATATATATATAATTATTTCATTCAATAAATATTCTTTCGGCAAAATATGAAAATGAACTCATGAAATTTTTAGATAACAGGCTTCCTTACAAAATTATCGGTAATTTTCATGCACTTGTGCAATTATAGCCGAAATTATTACTTTACAAAATATTTCACCTACATCGATATTTGGCCTTGGAATCCTACCCATCTTGGCTTCGGAAAGGATGGGCATCAGCACCCTGGAAACGGCCCCCGGTTTCGGTTCCTCGAGTTGGGCCAGTTCGGCGAAAACCAGTGCGGTGAAATTGTCAGGCTGCAGACCGGCTTGTGACAGCTCCTTCTGCATGTCTTCCACCGCCGTGAGGAAATAGTGACAGGGAGCTAGGGCTGACGCATTGCTACCTTGATTCATGGAAGGAAATGGCACGAATTCAAAACGGCCCAAAATGAGGCACAGGCAGGCTTTTAGACTAACTACAACGTTGAATGTTGCACGCGTGCGTGATACGGCTTCACTTGATACAGGTTAGGTTTGTTCTTTTTCGAAATATAAAGTCCGAAACCATCGCAAGCATGCGCAGTTTTACGGGACATGAAAAATGCCAACAGTTCTTTGAAACTGCGCATGCTCCTGATAGTTTCGGACTGTTTATTTTTCCAACGAGAACAAACCTAGAGATATATCTGGTTGATATTGGAGTCACTGGATGGTATTAGTTATATAAGAGTTCGGACACAGCTGAACTTCTGTCCTTTTCTATTTTCTATATTACAATAATGGTTTGAGTGAATAAAATGATGAGACATATATTCTGCAATTTGTTTTTTCAATTTCCCTAGTAGCACCTGATTGTCAGATACGATTTTAGAGATTAGATTTTCTGTCAAATCAATCATAGCCGTAGATAGAAAATAGAAATAGTACAACATTTTGATATGACGAAGTACACATATGGATATACTTATAGCTAGTTCCTTATTGTATGTAGAACTGTACCGGAGTGATGAATTTTGAATTGGGGCGGCATTGAAAACGCCATTCAATGATATATCAAGTTGCAATTTACTTGATTTCCTCAGTTTCGTTCTCAAAATTTCAATTTCATTACATAGTATCGCAATGTGCCCCACACACACTGTCTCAGACTACTCATAAATGACAGTAGCACTAGTGGACCACCACCATAATCTGATGGCAATGAAGAAATAATACTATCCACAAAAAGATATTCCGAAAATGATGAGTCATTCGTTGATGATAACCATCTATTGATATGAGAGCGGAAGGCATATTAAATGAGGAACACTGTATTTCAAATGGTTGTGAAAGTATAAATGTAGTGAACGGAATATTTCCTCAATATTTCGAACGTTCACAATTTCCAATGCCTTGACAGTTTTTGTTGGGAAGTTGAGAGGCATCAAAACTGTATCTGGATTTGCATGTGCCTCACACCTTTTCTTCAGGTAGTTTTTTGTAAGATATATACACCCTCTTTTTTATTTATTAATCTCTTTGATTTATAATCGATTTATCATCACATGTCATGCTTTTTCAATCGCTAATCATTATTACCAATTCGATGTGACTCGGTGATTCAAATTCATCACCAAGATCCGCGATTCGAATTTACCGCCAAGGCGAAAATCGACCTGATTGGTCTAGAAGCCTGCCTCATTTCGTGGCGTTTTGATTTCGTGCAATGAAAATGGTAACCAGTGAATTGGATATAATACACAAATTCTCATATCCAGAATCAGTGACAATATATGGATTTGCATGCTTAAACTTGAGATTACGCTCTCTTCCTCTGAAATATTTTCGATAATGAAGTGTTGCCGACTCTACAACAAAGTAGCAACAACTTTGTTATTTCCAAAGGAATACCCTGTATTTCATTGCATTTTTTAATTGTTCCTGGAGAGCCAATTTCATGGATGTATCACACTTGGGGTCTATTGGGAATGATTACAGAGATATAGTGTTCAAAATCGAGATTTTTCAACTCAAGGATTTTCTTGTGTAGAAATTATTCATTATTGGTCAAAACGGCATTCATGTCCCTATCTTGACTTTTGATTTACTATTTACAATCATTTGATTAGAACAAATACAAGGTGGTTCAAGATTCAGAATCCAGATCACCCTGATTCTGATATTCTCAGATATTTGGTTCTTTTGGACTATCTTTGTACCTTATTATCTGTCTAAGGTAGGTACTTATTATTGATAGCTTTTGCATTAATCTACACGGGTCAGTGAAAATATATCGAAAAACATTATATCGAAAGACAAAATATCGAAAACAAAATATCGAAAAACCGAATATCGAATGGAAAAAATATCGAACGGAAAAAATGTCGAACGGAAAAAATATCGACTGACATAACAGCGAATGGAAATATTATCGAATTACATAATGTCGAAGGGAAAAAATATCGACACAGTATATTATCGAATAACAAGATATCGAAAAGGAAATATATTATAATTAATAAAACAACTGACTTTGATGAGTTGATTTGAAAGCTGGTGTCAAAATGTCTTCGAATTTTCAATATGTTTCTAGCCAGAAGGGAAATAATAAACTATATCACAATGGTTATTTATACACCCGCGAGAAACAATCAGACACCGTCAGTTATTGGAAATGTGAGCAATGGAAAATCAATGGATGTAAAGGAAGAGCTATGAGTGCAGATATGGAATAGCAACTGAGAAAAATGATCACAACCATACAGGAACGCCATCGAAATTCGAATCAACCACAGGAATGAACAAATTGAAGCAAGATGCAAGAAGAAGTAAAGATTCTCCGCAAATGCTGATTTCGAATGTTGCCGGAAACTCTGTTCGACTAGTCGGAACTGGCTCCCATCAGTGAGCCTACACTTCCTCAGCTACCATCTATAAGAAGTATGAAAAAAACTATCCGATATATCAGACAGAAAGAAAATAGAGGCCTGACAGTTCCGACTAGTCGAACAGAGTTTAACATTCCCGAGGTATATAGAAAAACGGAAAAAGGTGAAAATTGGTTATTATTCATGTGATTTTGTTCTATGAGTTGTATCTACTTTTTTTTATATCGAATCAATGCATATTTTGAAAAGTATTTTATCCATAATCCATAATGAATTAATCTTCCTCGAACAATTCTCAAAAAAGACAGGTTAGTTTGTTCAGAATTGGTAGCGTCAATTTTTCAACGTTTTTCATACAGGTTTCTTCGTTCAGGATATTTCATCTTCACATAAGTATGTACCTACATTATAAAATCTACTCGAGAATTTGAAAAAGGTGGAAGTCGATATCTTGTTCTTCGATATTTTGTTATTCGATATTTTCTTCCATCGATAATTTGATTCTCGATATATTTTCCATTCGATATTTTTTCCGTTCGACATTTTTTCCGTTCAATATTTTTTCCATACGATATTTGGTTTTTCAATGTTTTGTTTTCGATATTTCGTCTTTCGATATAATGTTCTTTGATATATTTTCACTGACCCAATCTACACTATATTTCACTGGACAAAAACTACAAAAACTGTACAAAAAAAATTAGAAACAGTTTCAAATATATTCTAGTATTAAATAATAACCTGATAATTACATAATATACTCCTTCAAGTGCATATTTCTTGAGCAGATATGTGAAATATCTACCATTGTATTGATTTTAAATAGTAAAATAATATGCAATATGAAAATTGTTCTTGAAAAAAATCCATTCTTCTCAATTAATATAGGGTTTACTGTTATAAACATGTATGTTTCTTGGGAATATCAAAGATTACTATTATTATTAAATACCTTTAACGATGTAGACTAAATTCAGTGCAAGAGCTCTCAGCCTGAACTGCTTTATAGCACACTGCTCTACAGGACTGAGACCAACGAAAAAGAACTGCAGCTTCAGACAAAGTTGAAGGAGGTTGTCTATGCTAGTCTTCAAATTATTCGATTGCTGAGTTGCTAATGTACCGGGATTCGCCCAAAAACCTGAAAAAAAAATCGGTTTCATGATGAATTCTCAACGATTTCTGAATCATTCTGAGTTTGTTTATGAAAATATTCAGACCACTGTCTGTACCATTACCTTTCTCAATTATTTGGAGAATTTCGAGCTGGGCAGCGATATACAGGGCAGTGAATTGGGCAGTGCCTGCAACTGTTGAATCCATTTTGCTGAGCCTGTTTAGATGTTCTTTGGCTGTCTGTAATAGAGTTGTGTGAACCCTAGAATTATATCATTCTCAGTAGGTAATTCAAACATATATGGTATAAACTGATGATGTTACTATGAGCTGAGCTTCTCTTTAGCCCATGGTCAAAACTTAACATTTTTCAAGGGTCAAGGTGTTAGGTTATATGAATGTTCATTGGGTGCTTTAACTGAAGATTTCTCCAAACTTAATTAGTTCTGAAGGTTGGACCTACATAAAATTGAAACATGTATAGAATGGTTCGATAGAATCTCTCTATCTAACCAAATCAATTCTTCTCACCTCACTGTATTTTCAGTCATATCCAGATTGTTGATGACATTGTCCAAGAATGCCAAACTTTCAGGTACAGACATCGGCCTAGCCACCGAATTGAAGTTCAAGTCTGTCAAGTTCAAAACTGGTACATACTGTGTCATCGTGTCCCGCAAATATAAAAAATGCCTGATCGTGTGGGGTTCCAGTAGTTGCATTATCGTCAAAGAATGTTGGGCGGCATTGAGAATCAAAATAAGAAGACAAATATCTTTTTATATGTTAAGTCAAATTACGAGGGAAGTCGATATTTAAAGACAGCTCACATGTTTTCGAAAACCAGTGTGTATACCAAATAAGCTGAAACTGAGACACTTAGAAACAGGGGCGTAATCAAGGGGTGGGTTGAAAGAGGGTCTCCTCCAAAGCTGACGAAAAATACAAAACTCAACTTTGTAATTTGTGGTATATTAACTCCTGTTAAATTCCACTGCTGGAAAAAATGCTATTCACATCAACATGAACTGTTATTATACAGGGTGGCAGGGTGTCAAAATATAGCATATGGTTCCTTGGCTCATTTCAAGAACAGAAGTTCATATGAACATATACCCTAAACCTCTTAACTTTCGAGCTATAGGGTGTTGAAATTGTATTAAAAACTTTCGTTTTCTTATCATATCTTCAATACTGTTCTAGATATTTTCATGAAATTTGACATGCACCTACTAAGCACCATGTAGTATTCTGTAGTGTGTGTGTTTTTGACCATTTTTTATTCAAGCCAAGTCAATTGATTGAATAAGTCAAAATGGTTTTCATTTTTTCACGCGAAATCGGTGTCGGACGGAAAAAGTCAGGAAGTCAAATTGTTGCAAAATGAATGAGAGTTTCAAAATTGATTCACATTTAATATACAGGGTGCTTTAAAATAAGGATCGAAAATCGCTATCTTCAAATCGTCGAATCTCATTTTTTTCAAATGGATCACCCTGTATATTATTTCATAATTTGGAAGCTCATCCAATGGGCTTTTTGGTGATACCATATATGAAATAATATACATGATGATCCATTTGAAAAAACTGAGTTCCGGCGATTTGAAAATAGCAAAATTCGGTCCTTATTTTAAAACACCCTGTATATTTTGAGTGAACCCGAATCATGTCTGAGTTTCTACACATACTTTTAGTATCTGTTTACCCAGTTTTGTTCCCTGAATATTTTCCAACATTCATGTTTTCTCGTCAAATTTGATTAAAATGTTGATAACTTGACAACGTCGCATATGATCGTTAAAAACAAAATAGGTTTGTGAAGCCCACATGAGAGAGATTCCGAAAATGAAATAATATACAGGGTGTGCCATTTAAAAAAACGTTCGATTCTTTCACCCCGCGGATTCATGGTGCACCCTGTATACTAGAAAATAATTTTGAAGAGTAGCTTATGAAGTCTCCAATAACTTCCGATGAATTTTTTTTTCTATCTCTATCAGCCTAGCAGCTATGGTCCGAGCGAGCATAAGTGGGCCACCCTGTATCATTGGAATTCAAAACGTATATAATTGTATTAATTGTTATTTGTTTTATAATAGTAATAATAATAAATGAGAAGGATACATTGGGGATTTTCAACGTCAGGCTCTGCAGTATCGAAGAAAGGGTGAATATTCAAGAATTGTGGCACCAACGGAAGAACCAAGTCGGGATGTTGGGCCCCGATTTTCTGCAGGCATCTGTAAGTAGATCTCTTATCCTGCGGATACCTCTTCAAGTTGTCCAACAGCTTTTCCACGCACATTTTGAGACCAGCCGTTGTCGACATGCTGCAGGAGGCTAACATCCTGTGCAGTCCTTCTCTCACTTCCTGAGAAAAATCTTCAATTGCTCCTGCAGATAACAAAAATGGAGTTATAGCAATTTGTAAAGTCTGTTCTGATACGTGGATATTTGAGGAGATTGGAAAATATTGTTAATGATTGTGCTACTGTACAATTTAGTCTATTGGTGAGTTGATAATCTCAATGAAATCAACAATTAGGAATTGATTTTAGAATGTTAGTTAGCTGATTGGCTTGTTTGAATTATTTCCTCCATTATTTCATAAAGAAGTATTATTCAGTATTGGAACCAATATTATCGACATTGAAAAATTATGGATCCTCCAATCCAGTTTTCATGAAGTATTGTTTACCCAGATCTTTTATAATTTCCACAACTCCTGTTTGAATTTTGATCAAGGATTTCCTAGAAGTTTGATGATCCCAGATGATTCAGATCATTACTAATCAAATTAATAGGGATAATTCCCTCTTCTCTCTCAGGATTCCCGATTTTCGTTAACCCGCTCGATAATCATTCATTAGAATATTATTGCATACTTTGAAGTCTACAAGAAAAAATATTACTCAGGGACACAAGAATCCTTTATTGTATTGTACTTACACTTTAATCAATCTGATTTTAATAATCACGATTCAACATCAATCATAATACGGGCATATCTGAATATTTTTCTCACATCATTCATGTTTAAAATTATCATTATTACTAGATTGACTTTTTCATAATTTTAAAACAACGGAATGTTTTTGACATGTGAATGTTGATGAAGTAATGATAATTATTCGAATTGTCTTGGAATTGTCCTTGATTTGAAGATCCTTCACAATCCAGTTGTCTTGTTTTTGAATTGCCTCGGCCGTTACTTTATGGAAATCCATAGACAATGTGAAAAACTTCACAAACGATAGGATTTCCACAAAATTATTAATAACATGTCAGGTTTTGCTAGCACAGTACCTTCTTTGGTCTATTGTATGAGTATTTCACTTGAAGAAGCTACTGTGTTAAGCAAAACATGTGAGGTTATCAAGAATTTTGTGGAAATTTTATCGTTGTGGAGTTTTTTACGTCTGTATTTTTATTGCAATGGATTATTGAGTACCTGTACTACGTCTCTATAGTCCATATGTGAAATTTAGAAACCGAAACAAATCAGTCAATTAAAACCCCTTGCAGTTCCATGAGAGTTCACTCACCTAATATCGTCTCTAGTTGATCATCTCTAAGAATAATATGCTCTGATATCATTCGCAGACTATCTATGGCTTTCAGTCTAACATCTTCTATCTCATCGTTGAACATGTCGACCAAGAAGTCCAGTGCCAAGTTAGCAAACTGAGAATTGGATATTGACAGCTGACAGAGAGATTCGACTGCCGCAGATCTAACCTCTGAATTGAAATTATCCATACATACACGTCTGGGTGAATAAATCTTCTCTTAGAGAAACCAATATCTATCACTGCATAGAAATATACATTTATGGGTATCTTATAGAGGAAGATATAGAGCGACGTTGCCATTATAGTTACAATTGCATGTAGGGGATGATATAAGATAAGAGGGTGAACCTCAGAGAAATGAAAAACGATGACAACGTTGCTTTGTTTGTCGCCTTATTAGATGATCTTGAATCTGGATGCATCTTCACATCAATATTCAGTAAATGGTTTCCCTATGAGAAGATTTGTTTTGCCAGCTATGTATGAGTATTGTTTCCCAAATTAATTCATAACCCAATATTTTGTGATATTTTTGTTCTGAGTTTAATATGGAGCAGATTTACCTACCCAATGAAAATACTTATGATCCCCAATACTTTATTGGAAAATGACTGCTTTTGCTTGAAAATTGGTCTCAATTTGTAGGTACATAATTGTAAAAATACTTCCAACTGAACATACATCACAGTTGAGATGTGATATGGAGTTATATTCAGAATGTTCAACTTAAGAGGAGATAAAAATATATAATGAAAATAATGTTGTATAACAACAAAAATTTTCCCACAATTTTATCATTCAAAGATAGCAAATTATTAAAGATTGAACAACTTTACATAAAATCAACTATAAGATTTATGATTATGAAAAAATATTATAGAAATACTTTAAAACACCAACTAAATACCAGAGCTACGGCTAGACAGAATGTTCTAGTCCCTAGTGTCTTGTTCTCAGCAACACAAGGGCACATTTATGTTGTATTGGACCAAAAATGTATAATGTTTTACCACTGCACATTAGAAATAAGCCTTACAAACTAGTGAAATCACAAATAAATAAATGGATAATGGGAAGTGAATTGACATTAGATGGTTTATAAAGCTGAAATCTATTCATAGTTTTTCTCTGCTGACCTCTTTAGCAAATTAGGTATATGTTGAATAGATATGTATATATAAAGTAGTATAACAATTCCAATATGTCTGAGAAACAAACCATTTCTAAGCAAAACTGACTGATGTACAGTTCATTTCATATTTTTGGTTTTGGGATACCATATTATACTTTCATCAAGCATGAAGAAGTTATCCTAAGGTAAATGGTTTGTTCATAGAAATAACTTATATTTGATTTCTTCTCATCTCCTTCCTATCTTAAGAGTTCAAGCACTCCTTTCACTCAGATCCATTCATAGAATCTCATTCAACTTATATTTAATTTAGTCAAATTTAGCCAATTTCTTATGGGAAATACAGCTGTTAAGTTGAAATCAAATGTAAATAAAATATAAATGATTTCAGTGAATGAGTGATCAAATTCTTACCTAAAAATTCATCCTCAAGTCCATGAACAAATGCCCCACAGGCTCCACTACTCATCAAACTTATATTATCAGCATCTAGTAGTTCTTTGGGTGCATCATCTGCCCATTTTTTACCACTGGCCCATTCCCCACTGGTAACATTTTCCCATGCCAATTCATGAGCTGTCCTCTTGAAAAATCAACAGATATTATTACAAACAAAACAAGCAAATGAGAATATTTCCAAGCACATAACTACAATAAAATTGAATTCCATACTTTCCTCCTCATGTTGGACATGAGTTTCTTATCCAGAGTTTGATTCAAAAATTTTGGACTGACTAGTTTCATGGAACCCAAAAGTTCAGCAGCTAGTGTCCTCACATTCATTGAAAGATCAGAAACAGAATTACAAATTTTTCCAAATGCATCATCAATCAATCGAATCTCATGAATACTTCCAGGTAACAGGATCTCACTAAAAGTATTTGAAATCAGAAAAGAAGATTTTGAATAATTTCAATTCAATATAATCCAACTTGAACCACTTTGGGTGCCCCTTTTCTTATTAGTCATGTTATTTCAATCAAATCTGGATCAAAATATTTCATCAATTCTTATGATAATATTATCATTTCTGGATAGTCCTGTGCATTTTGATTGAATTGGAAAGGTCACATTAATGACTTTTTGTGATTCTACATGCATTTTTTGTGAATATTTTCTTAATTATTTTCATAGAAAGTTGTCATGAAACCAAGCATGAAACCCATATATACCTAACAGCATTTTAGTTGAATGTTGAAAAACGCTCAGAAAAATGTCTGAATTATGACTTCTTGATAATAATATAAAAGGATATGAAATATAGGTCCTGAAATAAGTGAGATTTGGCATTATAGGAGTTTGAGTGCATGAATGATTTTTCTCATTCATTATCTGTAAGAAATGTTTCTATTTTTCTCATGAATGGCTCCCTTTTCAATAAATATGAATGCCTACTGAAGGAAACACAATATTCCTATAAGAGGAATTGTTCCAATCCAAACTTAGAAAAATAATGACTACTCTGACAACTTAGATGAGAGATGAGCATGACATACATAAAGAAAAATCCATGGAAAATGCTGTATAGTTTGACTTCAATATACAGATGGTGTCCTGTAATGACTGATGGGTTAACTTGTTATGAGAAAATGCCCATTATAGAAGTCTTTCAGTTTTATATAGATTTTTCATCATAAACATTTTGCACCTCCTAGAGTTTTTCTTCACTTCCACTAAACACTTTAATGGGGAAAATTTCAGTGAATGATTATTTATTCTAAATACTACCTATTATGAGAAAATACTCTGGACATTCAAAATGTGAGAAATGTTTCAATTATAAGTTTTGGATGTAGAATATCTTGGAAGGTAGGAAAGGATAATGGTGTCTGACATGGTTTTTACAGGACACCACATAAAATAAGCTGTTTCATATCATTATGTTCTAACTCAGGAGACAGAGATAGAAAAAAAAATTATACACATCAATTTTTAAGATAAGTATATGACTCTACTACTATCATGCAATAGTTTCATGTTTCAAATTACCTACTTACCAACATAGTTCAAATGAACAAAATAAGACAAACCTTGTCACTTACTTGTCAGGGTAAGAATTTCCCAACACACAAATCAATCTGACTACAACTCTTCTTACTATTTCGTAATCATCATTCAGGCCTTCACAGACATCAACATAGATATTAGGATTTATTTTGAAGCCCCTATCATGGAGTACCACAACTGTTTGAAAAGCTTCACTTCTCACTCTAGCATCATCATGATTGAAGTAAGAACTGATTAGATGTAACAATTTCTCAGTCCCTTCATCAGTACACAGAGGTGAGTGTGCACCAATTATTTCTAAACATTTGCACTTAACAGCATGACTTGTATCTTTCAAGTAGGTTTTGGCTACTTCTACAAGTTTGGTATGAAATAAGGTACAGCTATCTGTGATTAGTTTTCCAAGTTTCAATATTGTATTCATGCCTTGTGCTATAACCTTATGAGACTTATCAGTTTTTAATAACAGAATAGTTTCATCTACAATGGTAACTGCTTCTGTGGAATTTTCCAGTCCAATGTCACATAGCAGGGACAAAATTTTCACTCTCACAGAGGATTCACATTCCCCTTTGAAATGATCACATAGTTTTTTAACAGCTTCTGCTAGATCTGAATGGTCTAATTCTGTTTCAGATATTTGAAGTAGTGTTTTGAGTGCTTCACTACTAGTCTTGCATTCTTCTAGATGATTGACAAGGGTGAGAAATGAGGTACTACTTGTTGGAAGTGGATTCTTGATGAGACGAAGTTTCTTGATTGGGAGAACAGGTGGTTCCTAAAAAAATTCCTCCAATGATTGTGTGGAGTTGTGAAAATCCTACTTCATTTTACCTGAATAGTTTGACTGTACTCAGCCAATGCACGTTTTTTCAAAACTGCTGCCATTATCAAATTATTGAAGATTAGTTTACTGTTTCTAGATCATAAACAAGTAGGTATTAATTAATAATTATTTCCATATTTACATCAACATCTTATCGACATCAAAATTTAGGTTATGTTTTGACATTTCATTCTTTCTTCTTTTTTTTTGTTCTGTTCACCATGAATCTACTTCTACTCTTCTTCTTCTTATTCTTCTTCTTCTTCTACGTTTCTTGGCTGGATAAAAATCCAGAGTTGGACCAAGGACATCCAGCCCAAGGAGAATAATCATTAATTATTATCGACAAAAATATGATTTCGTTCACTCTGTGACTGTCGTTTTATAGTAAATACTGGAGTTTATATATGACGTCAATTAGTTAATTACTATTGTCACTCCACAAAATAGGTGGGTAAATTTGACTCTAATAAATACTGATTTGACAAAGTTTTAATATAGGGCGAACAAGGATGAAGAACTTGGTTTTTGTTTGTTTCAAGTTATAGTTCATTGTGATAGTTTATATATCCTCAAAGCATTCAAACTTATTCGGAAATACTTAACATATCATATTTCGATGTTGTAAAACATCATGGAAACTTCAGAAAGTGAGACACTATAAGGTTCTGTTGTATGTACCTAACTGTTTTGTTCTGATTACAAAATATTCAATCATCAATTCGATCATAAAAACTTATATATTGAGGTTCATTGTGTATGCTTTATAGTATATATATAGCAGTACCCAAGACGTGTATTCAACATTGATAAGCGGCAATAATTGCAACTGGAATATAACTTTTATATACAAGGTGATTCCAAAATAGATGGTCAAACTTTGGGAGTATATAGAGTGAGTGGAATAATTACGAAAACCTTGGCAAATTTTTTTTCTGAAGTGCCCCCCAAGAAAGATACAGCCCCTCAAAGGGGGGCCTCGGAGAATGATTTTGTATTATTATCTCCAACACCTTGTATGATGAAAATCTAAAATTTTGTTTATCCACTAACTAATCAGTGCCGGTTCGAATGGAGTTAAAATCACCTCAAAATCAAATACAGGGGTGTGTCAAAATAGGGGGGTAGGGGGTAAAAATAACCCCAACTTTTTTGTTCATCGCAATTTCAGTTTTTTTACATGAAATTATGAAATCTCAGTGCTATTAACATAGAAAAGGAGCTCTTGTTGAATCTCGATAAAAAAATGAACCATTAGCGAATAAAATTTATTTTTCCAAGATTTCATTTAAATTGCAATTTTGGTATGCACTTAAGTTTAATTATCTAGTTCAAATCTTGCAACTGAATTTTCAGCTACTCCTACAACTTGGAATCTGGCAGATGACAGTTGACAACGGGTTATGATAGAAAACAAAATGCCTGCTCCAATGTGGCTGACGCAGATTTGTGATGGGTCCGATTCGATTCAAAATTGGTTTGTAAGGGTTTTTGGGGTTGGAAATTTTGAATTCGTTGTCGGAATTCATGAATTAAAAATAGACTACGAGTTTCGTGATTATGATCCTATTGAAAATACTAAAATAAAAAATATTGATAAAAACAAGCTTTCATTACTTTAACTATTGAAATAAAAAATAAGATGAAATGAGGTGAAAAAACACAAGCCTTTATTCAAATGCTCTGAAAATGAGAGAATGAATAGGATCAGTTCATAATAACAAAACTCGTCGGCTATTTTGATTTCATGAATTGCGACAACGAATTCTGAATTTCCAACCCCAAAAACCCTCACATACCAATTTTGAATCGCATAACGCATTGTCAACTGTCATCTGCCAGATTCTAAGTTGATCAGACGATTAGAAGTAGGTAAAAATTCAGTTGCGAGATTTGACCTAGATAATTAAACTTAAGTACATACCAAAATCGCAATTTAAATGAAATCTTGAAAAAATTAATTTTATTCGCTAATAGTTCATTTTATCGAGATGCAACAAGAGCACCTTTTCTATGAAAATAGCCATGAGATTTCATAATTTCATGTCAAAAAACTGAAATTGCGATGAACAAAAAAGTTGGGGTTACTTTTACCCCCTACCTCTCCATTTTGACACACCCCTGTATTTAATTTTGAGGTGATTTTAACTCCTTTCGAACCGGCACTGAATAGTAAGTGGATGGACAAAATTTCAGATTTTCATTATACAAGGTGTTGGAGATAATAATACAAAATCATTCTCCCTTTGAGGGGCTGTATCTTTCTTAGTAGTCACTTCAGAAAAAAATGTTACGGAGGTTTTCGTAACTATTTCACCCACTCTATATGCTCCCAAAGTTTGACCACCTATTTTAGAATCACCTTGTATATGACTCAAAAATCCGTTCGAATACCATGGATGATAGTAATTAACTTAGAGTAAACTGATAAAACCTTCCACTAGAGGGTTAATAATCGAACACACCCCTGATGAGGTCTACTCATTTTATATGTCCCCACTCTCCCACCCTCATCATTTTCTAACGCTGTAGTGAATATGAATTCTTTATTTCTCAAATGACGGAAGTTATATATAACCACTTTAAGTTTTCTGAGAACACCTCTGGTTATCTAACTATCTGGTGGTGCCGGAATATGGGCATACTTTAGAAACCTATAGCTATGGATGGAATGAATCTTCTACATTGATGTTAATAAATCTTGATCACCCTTTAATTGGAAATTGCCAAAGAGCGTAATTGAAGGCTGTTCTCCATCACCTTTTAATATTCTCAAAAATCCATAGTTATAGGCTAGTACATATATTAATATCTGAAAAAAATCTGTTATGTACATCGTGATTTTATATCTTTACTCAACTGTTTTCCCTAAAACTTGAGTGCATGTATTGTATATTTTCTTTTCTTCTTTTGTGTAGTGTATTTTACTGTGGGATAGGAACCAAGATAGAAACTGTCTATGTGTGATTCGGCCATGACTTGTTGATTTGGCAGTACTTATTATAAATGAAGTGATGAATCAAATAATAGAGTATATTAATCTGAATATGTTTATTGGTTCACAAATATTATAAAAAGTTATAAAACGTAAATATATGTATCTAGAGTAAAGAAAAAATACTTTTAATAAAATCAATAATACAAATAAAGAGAAATATAAAATCTGCTGTAACTATACATAACGTATAAACTGTGGAAAAACGGTTCTATGGCTTCATATAAACAATAAATGTTTGCAAAGATGATGCATTATATCATGAATATTGTCTGTTTTAGTACGTAGTTATTCATATGAACTATAGAGTATTATTTTGTCTTTATGGGAACACAGTAAACAAACATATTGGCAGTAGTCGACCAATATCAAGAACAAGCGGTTGAGATCCAAAAAGTATATAAAAAACCCTATACCATGGCAATATGTATCGTGATGAATAAGAAGGAAAGATCATTGCAATGAAACCTTCAGAATACTGAGGTTTCACAAACTTCGGTGTCTTACAACCAAGTTCTATAAAATTGGTGAAAAGTAAAGAAGACAAACTTGATGGGGGCGTCTTTTAGTGAGGAGGATTTTTATCACAAAATTTGTCAGATTAACATAGTTTGCTTCCTTATTCGATGTCTTACACTGAGTAAAAAAGTCAATTTTTACAAAATTGAAAACGTATCATAAATATTTATAAAATAAACAACAATAATTATTGATGATGGTAAAATTACAATAAGATGATCAACAAGTATAACGAGCGAATTTGCAAAATTGCTCGTCTTTGTACTCACATTGTAATTTCTATATATTTATTAACAACTTCAAACTCAGACAAAATACCCCTTCCTCTTTCAAATTCTGATGAGAATTCATATGTATATAATCAATCGTATTCTGTAGGATAGGTATACCTATGAGAAAATTCAAAACGTGGAATAATGACACACAATAACTATAGCTGAAATGAATAGAAAACTGAAGAAGGGATAAGTTGACTAATATTTAATACTAGATGTAGATACTTTAATTTACAAATTGATAACATAACCAAGTAGTAATACTTTTTACAAAGTGAGTATTTGAAGGTAAGAAGGTCAAATTAATGCCTTGATTTGTGGTAATCTGTAGTTCAACTATTATTTAAAGGCAGCTAACAAACAAACTAGAAGCTCTCTAAGAGGAATAAACAAGATGTGTCAAAAACTTCAAGATTTATTGATTAATTTCAATTATAATCTCTTCCAAAGTCGCGAGTATTTGTAATCTGAAGCAGATTTTTTTTTGTCATTCATGAGCTCTTTTTATGAAAATATATATTTTCAACACACCTTGTGTATGTGCAATCAGGGCAGAATAATACTTTAAATATTAGGAAATGACCTTAACGTATAAAAACTAAATCTACCCTGTACATAACAAAATTCGATATAAAAATATGATTTTAAATCAAAATGATAAATAAATAACTAAATTTAAAAAGTATTCGATAATACAGAAATGGCAAGAAAAATTTTAGGCAGGTTTCACTTATTTCAACTTCGTTATTTTTTTGAATATATAATTTCACATTCAAAAATCACAGCACAAAAACACAAAAACGATAACAAAACAAATTAAGCTTAGGAACAAGACTATGAAAATTATCTGCGAATGAGTATTGAATTTTGTTCACTATATTCATTTTTTCATTTATACGTATATTTCGACATTGTCGATACCATGCAATTTCCAAAATTAGAAAAATGTGTTCATTGGGATTTACCTCGATAAAAATAATGTTTCAACTGGAATGTAACAGAAATATCTACCAAATTTGAAGACATTCACATAAATGACATAACATTTTGGATTAAAAAATTTTTAATTAATATTGTTGAATGCGCTTTAATTAACGATTTCATTTCATGTCTGAATAGATCACATTGTGTTGAAAATGAGGGATGAAATTGTAGACAAACAATATGTATCTAGCTAGATACCTCATTGATTTATCGAAAGCAGTAAAACAAGTGGGTACGTAGTTTTTAAGAGGTATCAGATTAGTATAGATGTAGTTTCCATAAGGTATTAGTTTATTTAGAGGTCAGATAATTTATACGACGCTATAAAAGCAGATTATATTTTATCATTGCTCATGTAAGATGGAAGTAGAGGCCATGGCACCATATCATGAGTATATTTTTATATTGAAACTATCATTGGGCAC